GCCTCCAAGGAGCGCAAGGGGCTCTCGCTCGCCGCGCTCAAGAAGGCGCTGGCCGCCGGCGGCTACGATGTGGAGAAGAACAACAGCCGCATCAAGCTGGGGCTCAAGAGCCTCGTCAGCAAGGGCACCCTGGTGCAGACCAAGGGCACCGGCGCCTCCGGCTCCTTCCGCCTCAACAAGAAACCCGGGGAAGTGAAGGAAAAAGCCCCCAAGAAGAGAGCAGCTGCGGCCAAGCCCAAGAAGCCGGCGGCGAAGAAGCCCGCCAGCGCCGCTAAGAAGGCGGTGACAGCAAAGAACGGCCCCAAGAAAGTTAAGCCTGCAGCCAAGAAAGCAGCCAAGAGCCCCAAGAAGGCAACAAAGGCTGCCAAGCCCAAAAAAGCGGCGGCAGAAGCCAAGACCCCTGCTAAGGCGAAAGCGGTCAAGCCCAAAGCGGCCAAGGCAAAAAAGCAGCACACAAGAAGTAAGCCCCACGTGGAAATACGCTTGCTTCGCATTTACACCCAACGTCTCTTTTCAGAGCCACCATCATTTGGGCAGGAATGCTGTGGCTGCCGCCGTTTTGGGGAGGGGTGTGGGGGAACAGCAGTCTGCTGGTGAATGTGCTGTTTGATTCCGAAACAGCTAAAGGGGCACTTGAATAGGTAGGGGTGGGTGGGGGAGGCGGGTATTAGCTCCTTGGTAGCTTTCAAAATGCCCATAAGGCGCAGGGATTGGCTACAGAAAGGCTGAGCTGCTTCCGGGAACTCGTATCAGTGCCGCCCCAGAGCGGGGCCGGGCCTGTGGCGCGGAGCCTCGTCCGGCTCTGACAGTTAAAATGTCAGAGATAACTGCTTAACGCCCCTGGTTATTCAAAATTTCCCGCGGGCTTTCGCCTCGGTAATGAAATTCAAGCTCTTTCTCTGAATTTGTGGGTGGCTCTTAAAAGAGCCTTTGGGTTTCTCTTGATTTAAATTCGCAGCTTTTCTGCTCACTTGGCTTTGGCCTTGTGGCTGTCGGTCTTCTTGGGCAGCAGCACGGCCTGGATGTTGGGCAGCACGCCGCCCTGCGCGATCGTCACCTTGCCCAGCAGCTTGTTGAGCTCCTCGTCGTTGCGGATGGCGAGCTGCAGGTGGCGGGGGATGATGCGCGTCTTCTTGTTGTCGCGGGCCGCGTTGCCCGCCAGCTCCAGGATCTCGGCCGTCAGGTACTCCAACACGGCCGCCATGTAGACGGGAGCTCCAGCGCCCACCCGCTCCGCGTAG